CATACATACATACATACATGCATATATATATATATATATATATATATATATACTTATATATCAATATACAAAACCACAAATCTATCCTAGATTTAAATTATTCTAAGTAGCCTTGATACTCGAGCCCAAACTGAACATGTGGGTGGTAGAGTGGTGATGTCTGAAAAATCGAGCGATTGGTTTGACTGACTGCTGCCGAAGTTGTTTGAGTCTTCTGCCGATCGGAAAGTTGGCCATGCCTGCACGAAATCGAAGCTATAGAGTGCTACTCCAAGACAAATTCCACAAGCCAGTGGAACATCTAGACCCTTCAATAAGTTTCACGACTTGCTTTAACATCAAAACCCTCTTTCCATGCATCTGATTTGGTGGCTATTAAAATAGTCATGAGGTTCATTCTGTTGCAGATGGGCCCCAGAATGTGGCCTTCAGGTAAGTCTTTAAATCTGTCTATTATTATTTCAGCTTGTCACATGAAAATGCATGTGCACATCGGTCCACGTAGTAATTAAAGTTTGTTTTTTTTCAATTTCAGAACGGGAAATTGCCCTGGCCTTTCTGCATAAGGTCGCTTCGAACAAGATGCTTTGCAAGGAAGATCCGAAAATGCGAAAACTGCTGCACAATGTTAAAGGGTGACTATTACACACTTTGATATCATGTTTTAATAATGCCTTTCAACAGTCGAAAAGACTTAATGCTCTCTCTCCCACTTCATCTGACTCCAGGGCACCCGAAGCGTCCACCCGACAACTGGACCCTTTTCCCAACTTGACTGGCTCTTCAATGGATGGCGGCAATCGGCTAAAGCATGTTGTCATTCTGACACCGAGGGAGCGGAAGAATCGCTGGATTCACACCACTTGGCATCACTTGCCTCCGTATCACTTAATCACGAAACCCAGCAGGAATGAACACCAAGGAGCCATCTACGAGCCTATCTTTAGCAAAAAGCTTTTACAATATGTCATCCATCCCGAGCTCGGCTAGGCACGCCGTCAAGAGACATCTGTTAGACATTCTGGCGATGAAACAAGCACTGAAAGGTGGATACATTAGCGCCTCAAAGCACTGTTTCTAGAGGTGTTTCTTATGGCGAAATGCTACATTTCCCATTGTAGAGTTTACCTAAACTATTTTACAATAAACGATTGAACAATGACATCTTCTGGTCATACCGTTTAGTTATATGAGAGGTGTTCACACTATTTCGTGTAAGGTGATAAAGGACTGGTGGTACAATTTTCCCACAATGATGCGAGTAGAGCTGACGTTTCCATTCAATTTCACATAGCCTTGCTTTCCCAAAAGTTCTTCTCATCCCGACTGGAGTGGACTGCAGTTTCGACCTCGCATCAACTGGTCTTGTTAACAACCTCCGCGGGAGTCGAACCTTGACATATTAACAACTCGATCACATTGCCACGATTGCCCTCTGGTCAACCATCAGCTCTACTCATATCATTGTGGGAAAATTATATTACCAGTCCTTCATCACCTCTCATATTACTGATTTACTGGTAGTCTCGAAATTATACTCAAATACGAAAAAACCGTTTAGTGCCTTGCATACGTTTTAGAGAAATAAAGTCACCAGTCAAAAAATGAAGAGATTCATTCCGCTTTAGGCCTAAAGTGATAAGGGTTTATTTGTTTTACTGTTGGTCTCATCTTGAAAAAAGTCATAATTGATCCAAAACATCAACCTGTATTCAGACAATCTAGCGAAGCCCGATTAAGTTAATACCTTAACGCTAATTTTTGATATGGCTATACTTTCTTCTGTACTCCTGGGAATCACATGCTTGAACTTCCGTGTATTTAATTTTGCCTTAATTGGAATGTATACACGAACAAAACATGAAAGCATTCTCATTTTAAAAGCTGGTAAGTATCTAACTACAATACCAATAAGTAGCATGTTTTTGCTTTGAAACTGACTATTTCCCAAATGAATTAGCAAGCAAAACACGAGTAAAGCGTCCGAATATGCAGTAAATGCATAAGAAATCCAATGAAAATTATACTTAATTTTAGCATTTTTCGTAAAAAAACTAGACTAAGGAATCTGTCATTTCATAGGCCATGTCTTCAGGCAAACTTCGATTCAATTATGGAAAGAAAGGCATTAAATAATGCCAATTGTTGGCGGATAGCTGATTGGAAGATGATCATGTATGTGGTGGAGATAGCAAGGGCTTAACTATTTCCTACTCTCATCGTATTCGGAGGGATAAAAGGAATTTTGCATTCAGCAAAGCCATAGAAATGAGCAAATCATATCATTTTCGAGACACTTTGGTTTGGGGTTACGACTCATGCTTGCTCCGCTTCTACCAGTCCACCCTCCGACAGCAGAAACACTGCAAGGAGATGTTGAAAATGCGGATCAAGGAAAGGTGGAAGCTGAACCGATGTACTAAAGTAGCACGAAAGCAACCATTCCCGAGGGTTTGAGATCAACTGATGCCTGGTATGGAAGGATTTATGGGGGAATTAAGGACAAAAGCTACCGCTCAAGCAATGAGATATTGAAGAAACGCACAAAAATGAAAACAACAAGTACAGTGTCAGGAGAATACTTTTTTGATTCATCAAAACCCACACAACAAGTTGGAAATACTTAGACTGTTTGATAAAGACGCAAATGGGAGAAAAGTATGGGAAATCTGGGTCATCACAGTGGCACTGTAAGGTTATGCCTTTAGTGTTGGATGTAAAAAATGGTTGTATGCGCTAGTGCGGCGGCAGATAAAAGCAAAATATGAAGGGATTGGGGAGATATTAAAAAAAGGTGCACAACTCTGAACAGCGCCAGGCTGTTCTGATAGTCAGGCCTGATCTGAAAAGTAAGAACTTGGCATTTGGAGAATGATCCGGCTGGGCCCCGATGGATCAGATGAGAAATGCTGAGGCCAACGATAAGCCATTTTTCCTTAATCATGCTTACTAGCAAAAAAGATGAAGTGATTAAATAAATCTCAATTAATGTTAGTCTTACTAGTTACTGGAAGGGAAGGGAGGAGTAGGCGGATGAGATGAGAGAGTAGTCAAGTGGAGATAGACCATTTGTAGGACTCAACATCGAAATCCTCCTCTCGGCTAGTGCTATTCAACACTGCCGATAATGAACAACCGTATAGAGTTAATGAAAAACCAAATTGTGAATATGCACTTTGGCAGAAAAGGAAGATGCGCAAGAGAAATGGGGAACTGAGGAGAGCAAGTTAGTACGTCAAGCCGGACGCCTTCGAGAGAAGACGCTGTATGCGCTCGTCGTTTTGACAAATCCGGGACTTCACATCCAAGATCGCTTGTTTATTTCTGGCCACACTTTGTTCCACCTCTCGCAACTGGACCTGCAGTGGCTCCAGAGATGTTTCCGTCAGACTAATAAAGGTGATAAAAATTTGCAAATGCATGTATATTAGCATAGATACATGTAGCCTTGCAAAAATTAGTAGAATAAATAATAAAAAGGTTTTTGGTAAAATATTTTTGTGGATAACTTGGCTGAGACGTACCACCATATTTTCACAAAAATAATAAGCGACCATACCAGAGGCCACAACATCTTGGTCTTCACATCTTCAATAATAAGCATGTTTTTTCTGTTGAACCTACTTCCATTTCGAGTGAAAATGTTCGGTGAAGAGATTCGAAAGTCGATGCCACCAGAAGACGACGACGGATTCTTCTTGACCATCTGTCGATTGGCTTTACGGGAACATTCATGCCGACGCTGTTTACAAGGCAATCTCGTTCGATTCTAGTGAAAAGGTGCTAGGCTTTAGTCCGTCATATGACGGAAATCAACAATAAAACTTGATTTGTTAGCTTGAATTTTGTTGTGACGATATTACCTCGCTCTGATGATGTTCGTCATGTGACGGACGAAAGCTTAGCACCTTTTCGCCGGAATCGAAGGAGATTGCCTCGTAAACAGCGTCGGCATGAATCTTTCAGTAAAGCCAATTGACAGCTGGTCAAGAGGAATCCACCGTCGCCTTCTGGTGGAACCGACCTTCGAATCTCTTCTCCCAACACTTTCACTCGAAATGGAAGTAAGCTTAACAAGCATAAAACAAGATACTCCTCGAAACCCAACTCTTCTTCGCAAAAATGAATAAAATATATAATGAAAAAGATTTTGGTAAAATATTTTTGTGGCTAACTTGGCTGAGACATACCACCATATTTTCACAAATAATGAGCATGTTTTTTCTGTTGAGCCTACTTTCATTTCGAATGAAAATGTTCGGTGAAGAGATTCGAAAGTCGATTCCACCAGAAGACGACGGCGGATTTATTTTGACCAGCTGTGGGTTGGCTTGTTACTGGACGCTGTTTTCGAGGTAAACTCCTTCGATTTAGGTGAAAAGGCGCTAAGCTTTCGTCCGTCATTTGGTGGACCTCATCAGAGCAAGGTATCATCCCTACAAA